CATAAGAAAAAGCCCTTCTCTCCAGCAATTTACAGCCCACATGAGTTGAGCCACAATGAAGATGTCTCTTTAGGTGACTGGATGCTCCTCCAGAGGATACGGGGGCGCTGCCTCTGTAGGGATTAAATCCACTACTTTTCTGTAGAAATAACAGTGCCAGGAGCCACCCAAACTCCGGGAGACCAGGATGGTGGGTGCTGGCTTCCGGGTGGCAGTTTACCGCAAACTGTCCTTGGCTTGCACCTACTGATTCTCCACGTGTGGCGGTTTCTTTTCTGCGTCTTTTTCTTCATCAGAAGCAGACAGTGTAGGACCCCCTTCTTTAATTCTGTTCAGCACATACTTAATGGAGCCCTTCCGATGTGCCTGCCATTATGTAAACACATAGCCAATACCCTAGTGGAATGAGCATGTGCTTTGGAGTAAGGCGAGTTGGGTGGTCCGTGTGTTAGCGGTTTAATTTGGGGCAGGTTATTTAATCTTTATGTCTCGATTTCTTGTCTGTAAAATAGGGATAGTAACATCTGTAAATGAGGGGGATTTAATGGTTAAAAAAGAGGGAATCTGTGTATGGTATCTAGCCAGCACAGTGCACGCCTCCAACTCCGCAGTTGGTAAATAACGGTCGTTAGTGTGATCTGATAGGCGCTGCGGTGGAGATGGGGACAAAGTGCTAAGAAAACAAAGGGCTGTGAGATAGGGAAGGGCATGAGGGCAAGGTTCCCGGTGAGAAGCTCTGTCCCCACACACAGCGACGGAGGAAACGAGGGGCCCACAGGCATTGGGTCTTGAATCCTGGAGCAGATACTTACTGCTTTACGGAATATTTCCTGGTCGTTTATGATCATAAAACATACACATACTCACTGTAGAAAGTGTGCACGTGTTTTAGTCTCTTTATCTGGCCCATTTAAGTAAGTAGTCTATTAAATATGCTTAAGTAAGTATTCTATTAAATACGGTATCACTCGAAATTCTTCCAAAATGACCCCTTTTTTTTGCAGGAGGAAGTCAGCACACTTTTTCTCATCCACCTTATCCGTAGGTGACTTCTGCTGGGATCAGAAGCTTGTTCTTGTCACACTGAGCCTCTCTGAGCTGACCTGGCTCAGCTCCCAAACCCTGGGCCCATCATTTACGAATGAAGACCCCTTGTTTCTATAGTTCATATTTTGACCTTCCTAGGCTGCCAATGGACTTAACATCCAAAGAATTATATAATATTTGGTTCATTCAAAAGACTGTGAAATGCAATACGAGTGTGTGTGTGCATGTATGCATACATGTTATGCAGCATACCAGCACAGTGAACCTGGGAATCTGTCACCTAGCCTGAGTTAGAACATTCCCAATATAATTTGTCAAAAATGTATTACCAAAAAAAAGTTAACGACCTTTACATTTTTTTCTTGTTAACTTTGGTGTCTGTTGATTGAGAAAATACAAACTCTACGGACCAACTCCTTAAAACATTTATTTGTGTTAGTGATTATAGTTCCATTTTCATACAATTTAAAAATAGAAGGCCTCTGTATGAGGCCTGTGCATAGTGAAGACCTGTGTGAAGGTTAAGCTCATGGGCTCTGGATTGGATTCTCCTAGGTTCAAATTCCAGCACAGGCTCTTTACCTAGGTTCAAATCTCAGCTCATGATTGAAACTCATCGTGAGTCCCTGAGCAAAGTTTCCTTGTCCCTAAAATGGCTGTCATGATAATGCCTATCTCACAGGGGTTTTCTTTGAAGAGTAAATGGGTTATTTATATTTTGGAGACAGGGTCACACTCTGTTGCCCAGGCTGGAGCGCAGTGGTGCATCACAGCTCACTGCAGCCTCCACCTCCCAGGCTCGAGCAAATCCTTGGGACTACACAGGCATGCACCACCATGCCTGGCTAACTTTTAGAAATTGTTTGTAGAGATGGGGTCTGCGTATATTGCCAAGGCTGGTCTTGAACTTCTGGGCTCAAGTGATCCTCTCTCCTTGGCCTCCCTAAGTGCTGGGACTACAGGTGTGAGCCACTGCGACTGGCAATGGGATGTTACGTGTGAAGTACCTGAACCTGTGCATGGCACACAGGGAGTAGGTGAGTGGTGGTGTGTGTCACACTTCAGCCTTTTGATTGCTGGAATATGCTGTTGCATTTTTTGATTGTTTGTGTTTTTGAGACAGGCTCTTGAGCTCTGTCACCCAGGCTAGAATGCAGTGGCGTGAACACACCTCACTGCAGCCTCAATCTTCTGAGCTCAAGTGATCCTCCCACCTCAGTCCCCCAAGTAGATAGGACTATAGGCACATGCCACCATGCCCAGTCATTTTATTTTTTGTACAGACAGGGTCTGACAATGTTGCCCAGGCTGGTTTCGAACTCCTGAGCTCAGGTGATTCCGCCTGCCTCAGCCTCCGAAAGTATTGGGTTTACAGGCGTGAGCCACAGCACCCGGCCTTGGCATATGCAGTTGAAGACATGGATGTCTCCAGCTCTGAAGTTGAAAGCCACTGGTCTAGGTAAGGCTTTGCTCCATTAGTTCCAGAGGAGAGCTTCTCTTCTAATGTTAAATTACGAGTGTGCTTTATGCTCCTGGACACTTGATTATGAACTTGACTATCTCATGTAACTCACAGTAGCTTCACCTGCTGATATTTTGTCATTCCAACAAGACTGAGAGCCTCTTAATGGTAGACTTGATGGCAGCACTTCCATGAACCCCACCATTAGCTGATCTTGAGGGGAAGGGATGGGATATTTGGTGGTTGTCCTGCTGAAAGAAAGTTTGTTTCCTTTTATAAAATCTAATTGCCTACTTCTGATGAATACATATTTTTGTTTTGCTCTTGGAGAGATAGGAAGTAGCAAATCTCATTCTGTTGTATCTGTGGATGCATTGACATTTGGCTTTGGCCTGGATCTTCAGAGGGCCAAATAGCCAAATGGTGATTTCTTCATTGTTTCTGTCTTCCTTGAACTTATGTATGATCAAGGATCATGTGGCCAGGTGCGGTGGCTCACACCTGTAAGTAATCTTAGCACCTTGGGAGGCTGAGGCAGGAGGATCACCAGAGGCCGGGAATTCAAGACCATCCTGGGCAACATAGTGAGACGCTGTCTCTACTAAAAAATAAACACAAAATTTTACATATGAAAAAGGATCATGTATGTGTCTAGGTTATTATATCTAATTAGCATAACTAGGACATGGATTGCCACTCGGGAAAAATAGTCTTACCTTCCTTTGTTGTCAGTTGAAAGTAAACGTGTATTTAAGATCATAAATGCGCACTGCAGTGAGCACAGGAGCAATCTAGCAGCTGTTATTATTGAGAAATTAAGACATTATTTTTCCTTCAGTATAACACCAAACTTCTGTGATCAGTCTACTAACTTTTAAAAAATGTATGAATTATAATAGCAATAATAATTGATTTGAGAGTTCAGATTTATTCTTGTATCCTGGAAGTTCATTCTCTGTTGGTATTGG